TGCAATCAGTATAAATGTGCAGGAAATTGCTATTTAAAAAATGCATTGTTGTTACTCAGTTTATCCTTATGAAGAATGCACAACTACAGTTCAATATCAAAACCAGGAAATTCACATGGGCACAATTCATAGTGGCTACTCAGATTTTCCACGTATTATATGCACTTGTGTGTTTTTGAATATGTACATGTAGTTATGTGAGGTTTTATCGAATGCTAGATTTGTAGACCAGCCACGACACTCAAGATTTGTCACTACGAGGCTCCCACTAAACCATTCTTCATTTTTTCTAGCTATACCCTACCCACCACTTGCCCTTCATCTCTAATCTTGGGCAACATCTACCGTCTTCTCCATTTCTATGATTTTGTTTCAAGAATGGTATGTAAATGGAATAATATGGTACGATCTTTGGGAATTAACTTCTTGTTGTTTAGCATTGCCTTGATTTCTGTATGACTTGTAATACATTGTATCAGGTGTTGCTTCCTCCCCTCACTCGCCACTGACAGCCTCCTGTACTCCTGCTGCAGTCCCCAAGAAACACTTCCAGTACCAATCATCTTTTTCCAGATGAGACCAGTGTCCTGGGCACTGGCTCCTCATCTCACCTGGCCCTATGCCAAACATGTAAAATTTGTTGTGGATCCCTGAGCCTTCATTCTTTAATGTGTAGACCTTTCAGCCAGTGCTGTAGCTGTTACCCATGGGGGAAGAACAGTGATTACTGAACAGAGTCGGGGAAGTACCACAGTAACAAAGGATGGGGTGACTGTTGGAAAGTCAATTGATTTAAAGACTAGATACAAAATCACTGATGCTAAACTTGCTCAAGGTGTTGCCAATAGCACAAATGAAGAAGCTGGGCATGGTACTACCATTGCTCCTGATTTGGCCTGTTCTATTGCCAAGGAGGACTTTGAGAAGATCAGTAAAGGTGCTAGCTAGGCAGGAGATCAGAGAGGTGTGATGTTGGCTGTTGATGCTATAAAATTGCTGAACTTAAAAAAAAATAGCCTGAACCTGTGACAACCACTGAAGAAATTTCTTGGGATTCTACAATTGGAGACAAAGACATTAGACACATTTCTGATGCAATGAAAATGGTTGAAAGAAAGGGCATCATCACAGAAAAGTATGAAAAACCCTGAATGATAAATTGGAAATTATTGAAGGAATGACGTTTGATAGAAGATATATTTCCCAATATTTTATTAACATTCCAAAATGTAAAAATGTGGAATTCTAAGATGCTATGTTCTGTGAGTGAAAAGAAAATTCTAGTGTCTAGTCCATCGTACCAGCTCTTGAAATTGCCAGTGCTCACCAGAAGCCCTTGGTCATAATTGCTGAAGATGATGATGCAGAAACTCTAAGCACAGTGGCTTTGAGCAGGCTAAAAGTTGATCTTCAGGCAGTAGCAGTCAAAGCTCCTGGGGTTGGGGACAATAGGAAGAACCAGCTTGAACATAAGGCTGTTGTGCTGAAGTTTGGATGGATAAGTGATGTTGAAGGGAATGAGAAGAAAGGTAGTTATAGATGCCCTCAATGCCACGAGAGCAGCTGTTGAAGGAGGCTTTGTTCTAGGAGTGGATTGCTCTCTGTTTTGGTGTATCCCAAATAAAGATCAGAAAATAGGTATAGAAATTATTCAAGAAGCATTCAAAATTCCTTCAGTAACTGTTGCTGAGAATGCAAGTGTTGAAGGTGTTTGATTGTTGATAAAAGTTGGGTTTGATGCTATGCTTGGAGATTTTGTGAATACTGTAGAAAAGGGAATCATTGATCTAACAAAGGTTGTAGGAACTGCTTTACTGGCTGCTGCTGGGATGGCCTCCTGGCTAACTGCAGTAGAAGTTGTAGTGACAGAAATTTTTACAGAATAGAAGGACCCTGGCATGGGTGGAATGGGAGGGGGTATGGGAGGTGGCATGTTCAATTCCTAGAATAGTGCTTTGCCCTTAGCAATGAACTGTGATGGGAAGCTTAAGGGAGATTCCTCACTGATAACATCAGAGAAGTCTCCTGAAGAGAATGACTGGAGAGAAGGTTGGCTGACTGATCACTGGAACCATCAGTTAATGGTTTTCATTGGCAATATATAATGGTTTATTGCTGCCATTGTTCATACCTACAGATTATATATATATATATATATACATATATATATATATATAATTTTTATTTAAATTAGAAACAAGCTTGTTTTACATATCAATCCCAGTTCCCACACCCTCCTGTCCTCCCCTGTTGCCCCCACCAACCCCCATCCCATCCCCTTTCTGCTTCCCAGGGAGGGTGAGGCCTTCCACGAGGAGTCTTCAAACTCTGTCATATCATTTGTATTTTATATTTTTAAATAAAGATGTTTGTACATTCTTGATACTGAGTGCCATTGTCATATACCAGTGTCTTGCTTTCAGCTTAAGTCACAGAGGCATTTCTACTCTTCTTGTGTCATCAGATGAGAAGTTCAGAATCAGCCTTTCTGTGGAGAGTGAGATTAATTGTGTACAAAGTAGAAAAGCCTCCAATTGTGCATCAACCTTTGTGTAATAAACTTGTGTTTAAAGTTAAAAAAAAAGAAAGTTGCTTCATTCTGGCTTCCTCACAATATTCAAAGATGTGATATACTGATGTGTCACAGTCTGTTCCCTCATTCATTTTTAAAGGATTTGGGGAGTATTGCAAATAAAGCTGCTGTAGAATTGCACAAGATGTGTATGAACGCATGCCTAGTAGTAAAGTACAGGAAGAGGTATGTTCTTTTCTTTTTTAAAAAAGATTTATTTATTTATTATGTACAGTGTTCTGTCTGCATGTATGCCTTCAGGCCAGAAGAGGGCATCAGACCTCATTACAGATGGTTGTGAGCCACCATGTGGTTGCCTGGAATTGAACTCAGGATGTCTGGAAGAGCAGCCAGTGCTTTTAACCTCTGAGCCATTTCTCTGGCCCTCAGGTTCAGTTTTCTAGATATGTGGCTTTGTTGGAGTGTGTATGGCCTTGGTGGAAGTGTGTCACTGTGGGGGTGGGCTTTTGCTTAAACGCCGCTCAGTGTCACAGTCAGTTGACTCCCTGTCACCTGCAAGATGTAGGTCTTTCAGCTACTACAACACTACATCTGCCTGCATGCCTCCATGATCCCCATCAGGATGACAATGGACTGAACCTCTGAAACTGTAAGTGAGCCACCCCAATCAAATGTTTGCTCTGTGAGAGCTGCTGTGTCTCTTCACAGCAATAGAAACCCTAACTAAGACAGAGGGTTAGTTCATGATCATCATGGTGGGAAGCTGGGGGTGGGGGATGTTCTTCTGTACACTGTGAATGTATGTTCTCATTGGTTGGTAATTAAAGATGCTTTGCTATTTTTTCAGAGTATCATCCAATCTTTAGTTGTAGAAATCTCTTTTGAATATTGTTTACTTTTTTGTTTGTTTGTTTTTTGAGACAGGGTTTCTCTGTGTAGTCCTGGCTATCCTGGAACTCACTCTGTAGACCAGGCTGGTCTCGAACTCTGAATGTTGTTAACTTTTAGATACTTGCTAATGAAGAACTCCTAGTTGGAGGGCTATTAAATAAAGGGAAAAGAAGACAGACATAAAAGTCACAAAATTGGGGCTGGGCATAGATCTGGGAGGAGTTAAGTAGAGGAGTTTGTGTTTAATTTGGTCAAAATATATATTACATGAAATTCTCAAAGAATTGATCAAATATTTATTGAAAAGAATTACTACCCATGATATACTTTCATTTTAGTTTCAATTTAGTGACATTGCTTAGCCAGTTGCGGGTGCAAGTTTTTAATGACAGGATACTGATGCTGAAGGATTTTGAGTTTGAGGCCAGTTTTCACTACATAGTGAAATCCTATCTGAGAACACCAAAAATGACAAAAAACCCTTGTGCTGAGTTGATGATGCTGATGATAGGAATGCCAGAAATTTATACTGGTAACCTACATCAGAAAAGAAAATTATTTCTACAGGAAAAGACTCACAATGAATTGATTTTTCTTTTCATTTTTCTTCTGTTTGTGTTAACTAGTTAAAGTAACATCAGAGGAATGATGCAGAGAATTAAGTGCAGAGTCTGACACATAATGATGGGGATATGAACCATGACTGATAGACAGCTGAGTTTTCCAGTGCTCCCTCACATATTTGGACAGGTTTTTTTGTGGTCTGGGTTTGCGTCATTTATTCCTGAGCTCTGTCAGTTATTTCTTCAGCATTGACACATGCCCATTCCTCTCCACACCAGTAACCTTTAAGAGATACTTCTATAAATAGTTAAGAGGATTTGCAGTCTTACACTGTACATTCTGCAGAGTAACATATGGCACTGAATAGGAGAACCGTCACTCTAGACAGTAAAACAGCCGAATGGCAGAAACTTAGGAAACTCACTTTAGGAAGCCATACATTTTTAAAAACAGCACCTCTTCATTCTTTAATATTCATAGCCCTATAGAAATGTATCATTATTCTGTAGCAATGTTTTTAGAAAGAAACCTCTATTTTTCTTTCACAATTGTCTGACATATAGTATTTATAGCAGAGAAAAATATGCAAGAGCTAATAGCAATAGCTTTACAAGCTAAGTATAGGTCTTCTGCTTTTAAAAACGCTGTCTCCTAAAAGCAAACCAACAGCCAAAGCTGTGGCCATGTGGCTCAGTGGCCGAGCCCCAGCTTAGCATGGCAGAGGCCATGCCTTCAGACTCAAGCGTAAAAGCACAAAAGTAAACACCACAAATCATTAAATAAAACAAAAAACAAGAAAGGAATGGCAAAGGAAAGCTGTTTGGGATGGAGAAAACTGGACACCAGGTGATTTTCAAGTTTTTAGGTTTCCTGTAGATTGTTTCAAAAATATTCTTGTTTAATCTCCACTAATCTACTGTGAACGATACTGAAACTGGCTGGTGGCTTTATATTCTTTATGGATTGAACTTTTCCCTGCCAACATCCGTGGGGATTGTGAAGATCACCTTACCTTGACAGCAGTCACAGCCTGATAGTCTCCTCTATTTTCTGTGGCTTGATGAATACTGAGATTATAATCCCCCTCTGCTCTGGACAGAGGCAGCAATGGTGTCCATGTAGCCTGCCTGGGAAGATGCTCCTCGGGGATCTCTTGGTTTTCTTGGGAAAGGCTGGGCATATTTTCCCAACAAGTGCTTCATGGGGATCTTGTCATCTAGTTTTACCAACACCAGTGGATCCTCTCTGTTCTTCTGTTGGCTAATGCTGGGCCATGTCTGAGTAGGCTATGGAGCTTCTGCAAATTTACACTGAGCAAAGCAAAAGGCTGATCCTTCATGTGGATCAGTAGTGGCTTATCCATGTATCTTAGCTTTTTATTCCAGGTAGAGTGCGTATGTCATGACTGCCCTCTGTAGGTGAGTAACTAAATTTTCTTCTCTATAAGCCAAGGCAAGGGAATGTGTGGTGAATGCCATCTGAGGGGACCTGGGAGGTCCCCTCTGCTCAGGGCACCCTTCTGATTTTGCCTCATGCATTTGTGTCTCTCTGAAACTAAAGCTTCCATGAAACCAGTGCAGCTGCTGCTCAGTGGTTGTGCCGGTACGGGGAGGAGCCTCGATAGAGAGTCATGCCCTAAAGTGAAACTTGGATACATCGGCATGCAAGTAGCTCAAGTAAAGGAAGAAGAAAAAGAAAGTTTTTTTTTTTTTTTAGCAGTTATTGTTTTTAATTATGAATGTGTAGTTGGTTTGTATGTGGGTATGCACCTGTGTATGTACCCACTGTGACCATAGATAGCTGATTCCCCTAGAGTGGGAGGTACTGGTGGTTGTGAGCCACCTGATGTGGGTGCTGGGAATTGAACTTCTGTGCTCCGGAAGAGCACCAAACACTCTTAACAATTAAGTCAACTCTCTAGCCCTACGGCATACATTTTCAGCCAGTAGTTGATTAAAACCATGGCTACAGAACCCATGAGTTGGAAGTACAAATAAACGTGCATTTTGTGTTTGCTCATGACACATGCCTTTTGGGGTAACAGGCCATAGTGCCCTTTAGTCTTTTATTGATGGTGAAATGTACACAAGCTTATTGGCATTCAGGTACTTTCTTCTCCCTGTTCACTATTGGTTAATTTGAGTAGGTGGCACCATTTTGTTTTTATTAATGGATTTATAGACAATGTGAGATTAATGAAAAGTCGTTGATGTTCTATGTGTAACCCACACAACAGAAACTTCCTTCTTTGAAACAGGAAAATCCTGGGATCTGTAAGCTCTGAGAACTGACTGAGGAGCATGATTCGTGATGTTTGGTTTTAACCTGTCTGCAGATGCTGAGGCATAGTGCCACTGTGCTCTGAAGTGACCAGCTCCTCGGCCAGCCCTGGGCAAGGCAGTAGTATCTGGAAGTGTAACCTGAGTTGTACAGAAGCACCCTGGCTTTCCTGATCTGTGGCATTCGCAACATACTCACTTGCCCTTTGTGAGCTTCTTATCACTTGAACACAGTTCTACGGCCCAGTGTTCTGGAGACTTCTGTGACATATAGATCACTTTCTTGGCCCACTTACTTTCCTTCTGCTGTAGAAGTTATGTTTTGTCTTATGGCATGAGACACATAGACGTGTCCTCAAATAGTGTATGAGTGTCAGTAGCAACATGACAGTATAGAGAAGAATTGAAGGCTTACAGTAGGAATCAGCTAGGCCTAAATTGCTGCCTGAGGATATTCCTGAAGATCAGCAAGCAAAGAATTGACTGTATTCTGCCTGTGTCCAAAGAACTTGAGGCTGAATTATTCTTTAGTTCAGGACTCCAGACCATAGTACAGTATCACCCACATTTAGGATGTCTTCCCATCTCATTTAGCCCAATTTAGAAACTCCCTCTTAGACATGCCAAGAGGTTCATCATCTCCATCATTTGTTTTATGTGTATTGGTGTTTTGCCACTGGAGTTACGGATAGTTGTGAGCTCTTCTGGGAACTGACCCAGGTCCTCTGGAAGAGCAGTCAGTGTTCTTAATCACGGAGCCGTCTCTCCAGCAGCCAAGGTCATCTTCTGTGTATTTCTCGTGTCAAACTGACAATATTCACCATCATACGGCTATTTTTGAACTTTTCTTGCCTGCAGCTCAAAAGTCACTCAAGCTCCTTCTTTGTAAACTGCGAGTTTTCCATGTCCTTCTGCTTCCCTTGTTCCCCTCTTTCACCGAGGACTTAGATAAGCTCAGTGAACAGTAATTCAGTTTTTGCTCAAATGCATAACAATGTGTATAAAATGCTCTTATGTGATATAGTAGGCCAAGGCTTGAATTCAAGCTGACTGAGGAAAGACCCTTCATGTGAGTAGAAGGAGGGACATTAGGACGGACAGAGCACCTCTTCTAATGTCACCCACTTCAGTTCACTCACAGTCAACCCGTAGGCCACAGCTGCTAAGTTATTAATGGAAGTTACAGGAAGAAAGGATTCCCATATTTGCTTTCTCAGGTATTGGCTTCAAATCTCTACCCTCATGGTTTTTATTAGGATGCACACATCTTGGCCATCTGCATCTGTTTGTTGTTGTCAAGGCACCCACTATGACATGGACTCCAACAGTAGCAGGAGCTGGAGTATTAAAATCTCAGTATCTTGTTAAGTGTGGGGTGTGAATGATGCTGGAAAAGGCAGGGTGAAGGCTGGTTGAGGACTGGAACAAAGATGAGGAATATGTTTAGATATTTAGATGAGAATCTAATTTGTCAGTTGTTCCCTGGGAATAAAGCAGGCTTTCCTTCTTCTCCTCCTCCTCCTCCTTCTTCTTTTTTGCTAGCTGTATTTATTAAAGGCAAAGGGTGGCCTTTAATGTGCTATGTAACAAAGGCTAACCTTGGACTCTGGTTCCCCCTGCCTCCACCCCCAGAGCACAGAGATTATATGCATGTACTCCATACAACAGGCTTATTTTCTTGACTCTTTAAAATATTTAAGTTAACTTTATTTTAGTTTTCTGGGGAGTTTGTTACTAGTACACAGTCACTTTCTCCTTCTCCTACACAAAAACTTTTCCCTTAGATTTCTTTTCAAAAGAACATTCAGATTTCTACTTCTGGTCAAGACAAAATGACAGTAGCCTGATTTACTCTCCACACAGAAGCAAACAAAAAGCTTGATATCTATAAAAACAAACAAACAAACAAAAACCCAACAGTACCCAGATATCGGGCATCAGTACTGAAGGGCAGTGATTCACAATTGACAGAAAACAAATACCTTGAGGTCCCTTTGTCCCTAGCTTCATACTGGGAGGAAGGGGGATTGGCTTCAGGGAAAAGACTTCCGGTGGAAGGTGAAGAGTTGAGCAGGGGCTGTTTGATGCTTGTGCATCAGGTGTTCTGGTGGGAAATGTAAGTGCTTGTCCCTCACACTCTCTTCTCCCACCCCACTGTAGAACTTTCAAGCAAACAAGGCTGAGCAAACAAGGTTGTTTTTAGAACTTTTCGATTGCCTTGCCCAGTCTTAATACAAGGCAAGGTGTTTAGTCTTACCACAACTTGAACTTTGTTGATACCCTTGGGAGGCCTTCCCTTCTCTGAATAGAAAAAGAGGAGGAATGATGCAGGGGTAGAGGCAGAAGGGAGGGGAGGGGGAGGAACTGGGAGGAGAGAAGAGAGGAAAAACTGTGCTAGGGATATCAAACAAACAAACACATAAAATACTCACAAATCTAAAAGGATGGGGTAGAGATCTAAATAGAATTCTCAAGGAAATTCAAATGGTTGAGAAACACTTAAAGACATGTTCAACATCTTTCATCGCCAGGGAACTGCAAATCGAAACTACTTTAAAATTTCATCTTACACTAGTCAGAATGGCTAGTATCAACAAAACAAATGACAGCTTGTGTGGACAAAGTTGTGGGCTAGGGAACAGTTAAACAGTTATCCACTGCTCACAGCAGTGTAAAACAGCCCCTATGGAAATCAATGCAACTGTTCCTCAGGAAGCTAGGAATAAATGTACATCAAGATCCAGCTATACCACTTTTGGACATATACTCAGCGGACTCTATATCCTACCCCAGAGAAACTTGCTCAACCATGTTATCTCTGCTCTATTCATAATAGACAGAAATTGCAAACAACCTAAGATGTCCCTCAACCAATGAATGGATAAAGAAAATGTGTTACATTTACACAATGGAGTATTACTCAGTTATTAAAAAAGAATTAATGAAATTCACAAGTAAATGGATGGCACTAGAAAAAAAAAATCATCCTCTGTGAGGTAACCCAGACTCAGAAGATAAATATGTACTTATACGTGATGTTAGCTGGTTAAGTCTTCAATAAGCAGGCTACAATCCATATAGCCACAGAGGTTAGGCATACTGTAAGGGACTAGATCAGAGGGAAGGTTCTTCTTAGGAAGGGTGAAATAAAATATATAGCTATGCATGGTCTGGGGTGAGGGAGACTGGAATGGGAGGATCAAAAGGTGGGGAGGAGAGGTGGGCAAGTGTGGTGGTTTGCCCATAGGGTGTGGCACTATTAGGAGAGGTGGCCTTGTTAGATTAGGCATGGCCTTTTAGAGGAAGGTGGTCTTTGAGGCCTTATATGCTCACACTAAGTCCAATGTGGCAGTCTCCTTCTGCTGCCTGTGGCTCAAGATGTAGAACTCTCAGCTCCTTCTCCAGCACCATGCTGGACTGCATCCTCTCAGCTCCTTCTCCAGCACCGGGCTGGACTGCATCCTCTCAGCTCCTTCTCCAGCACCGTGCTGGACTGCATCCTCTCAGCTCCTTCTCCAGCACCGAGCTGGACTGCATCCTCTCAGCTCCTTCTCCAGCACCGAGCTGGACTGCATCCTCTCAGCTCCTTCTCCAGCACCGAGCTGGACTGCATCCTCTCAGCTCCTTCTCCAGCACCGAGCTGGACTGCATCCTCTCAGCTCCTTCTCCAGCACCGGGCTGGACTGCATCCTCTCAGCTCCTTCTCCAGCACCGAGCTGGACTGCATCCTCTCAGCTCCTTCTCCAGCACCGGGCTGGACTGCATCCTCTCAGCTCCTTCTCCAGCACCGTGCTGGACTGCATCCTCTCATGCTTCTTGCCTTGACGATAACGGACTAAACCTTCGAGTCAGCCCCAATTAAATGTCTTCCTTTATAAGAATTGCTGTGGTCATGATGTCTCTTCTCAGCAATAGAAACCCTAACTAAGGCAGGGAGGGAGTACAGAGAGGGACAGCTAACACTAAGGGCCATTTGAGAGGTTGTGTGGAAACCTACTACAGTAAGAGCTTTTTAAATATGCACAAATCAAAACAAATTTAAATGGGGTCACCAAATAATAGGAGAGCGAA